TGACCCATTGTCTCGCCAGTTTCGCGCTGCTGACTATGGACGTGTTCCAAGATCAGGACGCGCAGCACGGGGATGGAGACTGCTATGATACAGATTGCTGACTCGACTTGGCCCCAGAGGACTAGATTTGCGCCGTCATCTGTTGAGAATAGAAGTTAGTTTCAAAGAAACAAATGCAAGGGAGAAAGGGACGGAACGTACAGCTGAAATCTCCGCTGGCTACAAGCGGGTTGTAGACACTCTTAGTTATCGCTGCAGCGCCGGCAAAGACGCCCATACTCATTGCCGTCGCAACGCCAACCTTCTCCTTCATCTGCAAGTTCCACACCATTTTCCAGGGGATGAATGCAAGCAGGATGTCCATAGCTCCAGAGAATGCAGAAGAAGCCATCCCATAATATGAGAAAATCTTTAGATTCCAGCATTTTCCTGGGGCCATCAAGTTCCAGTTCTTCTCGACAGGCCGGCATTGGATCCACGGGATGAGAGCTGAGCCACCAAGGGCAATGTTCACGGAGATGATGATGAACCAGAGCAGAATTCGAGTCCTGCCTTCGCTGATACGGAGAAGCGTTATGGCGAATGAGGTCTTGCTATAGATGGCGGCGAAGATAGCGAGTACACCGGCAATGATGCCGAGGAGGCCCATTCGCGGCAGGTTCGAGGGGTTGATGGCGAGAAAGTGCTTGCCGAAACCCAGTGAGGTGGTTACGGTGAGCAAACAGGTATCGGTGAGTAGACATAGCCTTTATTCTGTAAGTATGTGGATGGGTCTTTGGAAGTGAAGTCTGGCTCACCACGCAAAGATCAGAATGTAGTCATCCCACCACAGAGTCCGTTTGCGTTTGAACTTGCAGTATATCCGCAGGGAGAGAAACACACTAGAAGTAAATGCTAGAAGCCAACTGACGCCCACGAGCATTGGACCACGGTCACCGCCACTGACACCCGGATCCATATTGATGTGCTTCCACCTCAGTCAAGACGCGTTATACCAGGAACAAAAGTAATCCAACTCCGGTGATAGTTGTAGTCGATATGAAAATTCGGATCCACATCTAGAGCAGAGGATTGACATCTCTATCAAACAGAACAGGTCCAGACACGGCGGAGCGTAGCATTAAGAGAGGCACCCGAGGAACAGGTTCGATCGATCACCGAAAATAAGAAATTACTCGGCGGAATTTCTCCAGATTCCCAACACCACTCCAAGACAGTTTCAGCCCTGCCTCCACTAGCCACTCGACCGGACCTTTGGGAGCAAATATCGAAGGGAGATGCCGCTCGCTGGCTTGTGCAATCGTGCGGTTCCATCTCCTCAAATCCTTCAAGCCAAGACACCAAGCCACCAAGCCTCTGAAGAAGAGCGGCCGAGAAGGTGCCCACTCGGATGCTCCCCTCTTATACGGTGCGGGGAGGCCAATGAGCGAGAGATTGGAAGCGAGCCACACTTTGTCATGCCCGTATTTCTTGTAAAGGCACAAATGCCAGATGGAGAATTGAGTGGACGGGACGGAGGGTGGCGTGGGCCAGACAGCGAATCTGAATTACGCAACCAGGACCAGGACCCCTTTCTGTAGCCGAGCGGGTGTGGGAGGCCCGGTCCTGGTCTTGGGATTTGTGGGGAGGGGTGGCTTCTTCCTCTTGACTCGGGAAACCGTGTTTCCTGACTCTCTAGGGTCGAGAATTCGATGGAAGTGTCGATAGTGAGTCCCTTTGGTCTCTAGAATCCAGATAAATGCTGGGTTTCTCCTTTGTTCCAGGCTGAGTCCAACTCGATGTCTTTCCAGGTCGTACGATTTGCATGTCTTGCCTCGTACCCTTGTATTTCCACCAGGCCAGGCTCACAGGATGCCTACAACGTATGTCCGCTGCGCCTTGACTCATGCAGGTAGTAGTGTCGAAGCCCCAGCGCCCTCGCAGGGGAGGTCCAGGCCTTGGTTCACACTTCAGTCAGGTGAGGTTCGATCCCTCTGCTGTACGAGCAATAATGGAAACGCTGTTATCGATAGGCTGTTCTCCAGGTTTCTGGGTAGCTGGGCTTGCGTTGATCCTCCGCTGGAGATCGCGATACGACGTTACCGAAAACCACGTTTAAGGTTAGGTGCATATATCTGCGGTAAACAGCTTTGGTTTTCGATACTTACTTGGTCCTCAAGTATTCGTTTTGTGCAGTAGAAGAGAGCAGTCCTAGGATCGCTAGCAAGTGCTAAAGAGGAAACGTCCTACTTGGGAAGGAGCTTTGATTTGCGTCACGATCATAATATTGTCCCCACTAGCAGTCAACAACTGGAAGAACAACTGGAAGGTGCATTCTTATCTGAGCGCAAAGCAAGATCTTCGCTGCGGAAAGACTTCGACTGAAGATAGGGCGCGCTTCAATTCAGTTCTCTAGCTCTCGGTGGTTCCCAAGCATACCGCCACGTTTCTGCGATTTCAGGGCGTAAATACTGAAATCTGCTTACCAAAACCTTTCCTTGTCTTTACCTACTCTCGTTTCTAGAGTTTTGTCTTCTAAATATGCGTGCTGATCGTATAACTCGACGTAGAGTTGGGATAACTTTGTTTTGAAGTGGGGTTCCTGCTGCAGTGGGCCGAGGACAAAGGCCCCACTATGCTCCGTCTCAGAGGAGAATCGTCGGTCCGTTTTTAGCACGAACTGGTCTCTCAAAGTCTCCTTGTTCTCTTTCTACGCTAAGTCGATTGCTCACCTTTTCTTAACATCAATTGCCAATGCGGGAAAATTTGATCTTGCAGTTTCCTTACGATATCCATATATCAACAGCCCTTGGCCCCACTATCTTGGGTAGCGTAATCATCGAAGGGAGAACGAACCCACCATGCTTCCAAAAGAAAAGAAGAGCATTCAACATGCGTCTTCTCGAAGCCCGAGATGCTTCTCTCTTGCAGTGCAACTCCCCTGGTAGTATTGAATTCTGGCATTACAGCTCCTGGTAGCAAATGGTTATCGCCCCACAGCAGTTCCAGGTGCTGGTCCCCGCATATGCAGATGCAGTTCTGAGGGTGTTCCCTTCTGCATGTCAGCGGGACAGGAACGCCAGCTATCGAACGTCCAATCGCACGTTATAGCGACTTGATTCTCAGTACTGATTCGGAAGGCAGCTGGAAAATGCCCAGGAACTGCAGGGCCAAGAAGGCAATTATCCAGTCACCGCCTCATTTTATGGCCCAAAGCAAAAAGAGAGCTGCAGGAGGCTCGAGCTGAATGTGTAGTCGAAAAGCATAAGAAGTCGAGCTGCCCCATGGAAGGTAAGGACCTTTATGTTCTCCAATTGCCACAGCTGAATATAATAATTCGAGTTTCAGCTCTCCCTTTTCGAAAAAGTCTCTTGTTTTAGCTTAGACTTGAGTTCTGAGCATCCACAAAATACCTCGTGATGAAGGCAACATTAGCATTGTTCACAGCAATAGCAGTGAAAGCTATCTCAGCGCTTCCCCAAACGACGACAACATCCAGCAATCCTATCCCTAAAAGCCATTGCCCACCTTTCTCTGGAAACTTCACCATCAACCAATACCAGTTGTATCCCGAGAATCTCGATTTCGATACTGACAACTGTCTCCTATACCTAGGGTAAGTCTCCTCAAGTCCGAATCTTAAGCCATCCAAACTAACAAGCCCTCAAACAGATGCCTCTGGAATGCAACAGTAGGAGTCTACAACCCTTACACCAATAAAATGGTCGACATCCTCCAATTTCCCGGCATATCTCACAACCCCAACTTCCACATCGGTGGTGTAGCAGTCGATGAACGGACCGGTCTATTGTCAATCGTAGTCGACGCAGGGGACGCCTTCAACTCGTTCGGCGCTAACATCTCCGGCACAAATTACATCATGCAATGGGACCCTTCATCACATGCTTTAACTTACAAGATCAACCTCACGCAAACCACCCAGGGAAAGTATGGCGGGTACCAAGACGTGCAACAGGACCCAGATGATAATGTTTACGTGGTTGGAACGTATCCGGGTAGTATCTTGAAAGTGAGCCGTGATGGAAAGACGGTTACGCCATGGTACGAGGCGTTACCTGATATTTCGACGAACACTGGGCTTACAGGCCTTGCTTCAAAGGATTGGACGCTGCTTGCTTCGGATTTTGGCAGCGGCCAGTTGTGGAAGTTCGATATGCGTGCCGCAAAAGGTGTACCATACGTTATTCCCACGACACCGCCGCAGAACCTCTCTTTGCCGGATGCTATCTCCCTGCCGAGTAGATACTCGGGCACGGTCTTGCTCGTTGCGGAGGACTTTGGGGGCGTCAAGGTGTTCAGGTCTAAGGATGGCTTGTGGAACGCGGCAGAGTATCGGGGCGTCATTCCGTTCAATGACCCTAGCCTGCTCTGTACATCGGTGAAGCAGATCGGGAGTGCGATTTACATGAACTTGATACCTTTCGGAGACTCTGCCATCCCTGGAACAGCAGGGAATGCAAGCCATTTCTTCTATCCTGATATAACAGCGCAAGTTGATGCACTACTCAGATAAACTAGGAAAGAGACAATTCTATTTCACATTGTGTTGGGATTTGTAATGGGCTTCAATAGTCTAAATAGAGAAGATCTAAACCATCAAGCTCGTTTTATGGGCCACACTTTGAATACCGGAGCTACCAGGGCAAATAAATGCCACATACATATAAACTTAAAGTATAATTATGTCTGAAGAAGCTCTCTATGTATTTTGTTTGCCAACTTCTCTACAATTATTCAGCTATGTGAACCGCAACTAAGTTATCTTCCACGAAGACCAACCTCACAGGGCAAAGTAAGAGGAAAAGCCCAAAGACTTTGTCCTGTAAGTGCGGTAAAGCCGGCAAACACATGCTACATACCATATAAAGCGGTCTTCTCTCTTCCGCCCCCACTCTTCTCGTGTAGTCCCCTTTTCCTGCTTGTACTATACACGCTTCGCTCCCCTTTCCTCTCGACCTTTATATACCAAAATAACCCCTTTTCCGCCAATATATATCATGGTCTGGTTGGACGAGTGGTTAAGTCGCTCCTCTCACAAATCACCCTACTTCCTATTCAGAAAGTGGTGGTTTATGAGGTACAGGAGAAATCAGAAGTTCGATCCTTCTACTAGACAATAAACATCTTCTTTCAATTTTTTGTTCTTGATTTAGATTTCCTGAATTTAAAGACTTGATTATTGTTTAGATGGGGCAATTTATTACAAAAATTTGCTAGGAATTTTTTTGCGTAGCAATGGAGCGAGATATTATTTGCAAGCGAGTTTGAATAGGGGTCAAGGTCTTCAATTCATCATGCATTTCAACAACAAACAAACGCCAGTACCCGCTTCCAAGCGACCGAGCCTCCAACCCAAGCCCAACTCCTCTACATTATTCGTATATCATACAACTCTTGGTTCTCCTCAAGCACTAGCTTGCACAACTCTAAATCCACCTGTAACCAACTTCGTGATCTCCTCATTCTTGTGCTGAAGCAGACTGAGCGCGTATGTAACATCGTTCCACTGCCTCTCAGTCTCGCATCTAGGTAGTCTGGCAGCAAGCTTGTCTGCAAGTTGTTTGGCATGTTTGTCCTATTAGACACATTAGCAATTTTTTCGTGTGGGCAGGGAGGGGAATAAATACCTTCTCAATAAATCCAGCCAAGAACTTAATGATCCTCTTCAGTGCATCCTCTTCCAAATCCTTCTCCGCACTCAACAAGCTGAACATATCAACAAAGTGATTATACACAGCATTATCCTTCGTGCTCAACTCGGTGAAGAACATGCGGCTCAGGTCTGCGATTCGTTTATCGTCATCCTCGAGGCACTTGGCCATTTCTCCAAGCTGGCCCTTGACCTTGACTTGCCCTGCGAGAATCAGGAATGTGAGAGTCATGAGACATGTTCTCTTCACACTGGCGTCCTTGTCATTAAGACGACGGTACAGGAAGTCGGTGTTCTCGTCAATGAGGTGGTTGAAGCAAACGGCCATGTCTCCAAGTGCGATGACGACGTTGGAGCGAGTGATAGGGTCCTTGGAACGCTCGAGGATGGTGATCAGAAGGGGCAGATTGGCCTCACAGTACTCAGAGCTCACGCACATGAGTTTCGCCAAGCAAAGTGTTGCAGCTGCTTGGAGGTTGCGGTCTCGATATGCCGTGTTGTTCGAGCAAATCTCTGATACCAAAGGTCCGAAGTTCGCAAGTAGAGAGTTCTCGCCATAAAGAAGCTCTCGCTCTCGAATGTGTGTCATAGCCTCCGTGAAATCGTCTTCGGTCGTACCCCCGATCATGTCAAGATCATCAGCAGCTTCCTTCGCAGCCTTGTCCTCAGGTTTATCTGATGTTTTGTCCCTCTCAGACTCTGCCTTCCTTCGCTTGAAATCAAGCTCGCAAAGTTCGAGATGAACGATCTGCTTAATAGCAACGTGTCCAACGATGAACAGGAGCTGTGACAAAGCGACGGATCCTTTCAGTTTCGGCTCGGCTTCCGTGGTCGACTCGGGAGGTGGTGATTGAAGCTGAGTTGCCTCTTGCTCAGGCTCGGGCGTCTTCGCAGTTCGCTGTGCAAAGACATGTCTGGTCTTCCTTCGTAGGATTTCTGAGCAGAGTGTATCGGGGTGATTGGACAAGGTGTAAATGGCACTGATAGCTTGCTCAGCTACGCCATACCATTCCTTGTTATCTGACTCGATCTCGATAATGGCTGCAAGTTTCACAAGTACCGCATGGTCGTTCGTAAGCTTAGAAGTTTGTACATTGGTCTCCTTAGCTTGCCGTCCAGTTGGGTTGATTCTTCGAAGAGCGATACATGTGTATTTGGCCAGTTGCAGGTCAGACCTACCGAGACCTCCTAGGCCAATTCGCAACATTGTCTCCATCTCACCAACAACGATTTCTGGCTTCGCTGTTGCAAGCATGCCGAGAACGATGATAGCACCTCGTCGTTGACTCTTCGAGATTTCTCGCTTCTGGACACCATAGACTTGCCAAAGCTTTGATACGACAAGTTCAGTGATATGGTTTGCTTTCATCATAGTGCTGAGGAGTTGCTCGAGAGAAGTCAACTCGGCAGGTGTAGCTCCGAAAGTTAAACTGATCATATTTCGAGCAATGTAATTTGCTGCGTCATTGGCGTTATAGGAATCTGGAGCCTCGAAGAATAGACGCTTGTAGCATTCAATTAGATGATTCTGGACCCCCTTGCCTTCGTCGTTGTTGCCTTTGGTCCAGATCAGTCTCAGCATTCGACGAATACCAAGCTTGTTCTGCTCAATGTTGTATGCATCACCGATCTCAAAGTAGTCCATAGCTTCAATGACTTCACTCTTGTTCTTAGATCCAAGAAGTTGGCAGATGACACTGGTCGCTCCATGTAGGACCTCAATGAACTTGAGAGCCTCGACATAGTACCTCCTTGTCAAAGTCAGCTTGTTGATAGCTTCCGAAGTTGCGGCATCCTCTTGAGCTTTTCGGACTGCTGCGATCTTCTGCTCGTCCGTCATTGGCTTCTCTGGTGATCCGGACTCGATGACTGTCGCATCATCTACCAATCCCGGATCGATTGTCTGATCAGCTTTGCCTTCAACCAATCCGGGGGTCCCGACAGGAGGCTTCAGGGCGTTCAGCTCGGCGTCCACGGCATCTAATCTAGCATTCCACTCCTTTTGGGAAAGTTGAGATCCGTGCAACACACTAAAAGGGTGTGTCTTGATCAAAGTCCCTAATAATTTGATGGCATTTCGTCGGACGTTACTGCTCTTGTCCTCTAAACTTCTGGCTGCTAATTCTGCAGCCTTTTGTCTTCGTTTCGGGAACTTCTGCTCCAAATCGCAGAGCTTGATATAGACTTGAATTGTTCTGCATCGGCAGTATGGGTTGACGTCCAGGAATCGCTCCTCCAGCACATCGAAAAATGCATTTAGCTGGGATTTGTAGTTGTCTCCACGCTCTTCCTGCTTGCTCAGGTCGGCCACCAAATTACCGCAGACCTCGATGAGAGCGCATCGCAAGGCGTAAGACTCGCTATCCAGCTGCTTTGCCAACATTGTCATTTGCTTGATGACCAATCTGGGAGCTAGTTCAGACAGCTTAACAAGAAAAGAAGAGACCGACTTCGGCCCTTTCGTATCATTGCTGTTAAACTCTTTGTTGCTCAATTCTCGAAGAATCTCGTCTGCGAGCTGTGGATAGTCGTATTGTTCTGACAGAATATGCAAGAACTCGGCCATCGGTTCAGCAAGATGCTCGAAGTAGGTCAAATTCTGTACGATGGATATCTGGGCAGCTAGATATAAGAGTCAGTACTGAATTGAAGACACACTTCATCCAAAATCTTACCATAACCGTGGCCGTGATGCTTCACTGCAATACACAGAACTTTGAAGGCGTGCATCCGGATTGCCGTGCTCTTGACTCTCTGCTCGCTCTCCAGAACCATATAAACCGGCCTAGTGAACAAACTAATAAATGTATCTCGTTCCGAAGTGGTGAGGAATATCTTTGAAAGCTTCAGCTTGAGAACCTTGCACATAATATCGAGGGCAGTCTGCAGCTGGGCAGACGAATCCCAATTTCCATCTTTATCCTTCCCAGCAGTCTTGGCTTTGGCACCTTTGCCTCTACCTCTCGCAGCCGGGGCTGTACTCGATTTTTCCGCCGCTTTCGTCTCGACAGCCGCAATAGTCCATTGTAGTAAGAATCCAAAGACTTCTAGCAGCTGTTTGTGGTGTGAAATGAGCTCTTGCTCGTCAGATTCGAGATCGTTATGGATGATGTCGGCTTCCGTCGAGAGTCCCGAGACGACAAGATCAAGAATCTTGCTTAGGGCGTGTGTGGGAAGAATGGTGGAGGATCTAGATAGTTGAAAGAGCTTAGAACCTGGCTGTGTAGAGTAGTTCTGATTGGATTCAAGGGAAACTGGGGCACACTTTAGTAAGAATTGCAAGGAATCAAATGACGAGCTTCTTGTGATCGCATCCGGGCTTTCTGCTATTGAGTCGACGATTGGGTTTAGTACTGTGTTGATCAGTGAGTTGGTGAGAGATTCAGGGTCGTTCTCGCAGTCGATGAGGTTGACGTCGGCTTCTGGCGTGGAAATTGTTGCGGGATCGCTCATGTAATGTTTGAGGGCATCGTTAATATCGAAGGTAATGGAATCCATGATGGACAGTAAACACAGTAATGGAATGCGCAGCAGTAGACAGCAACGAATGGTGGAAGGGGCCGTATTTCGACGTTATCGCAAAGTGGTGATGCTTTCTTCGGTGTTGACATTGGCCCCGGTAACCGCGTTGTTTTGTTCGCGTCCCGAATTGGCGTAGCTCCAATTGGCTGTTGTTCTCACCCCGCCGTCGTGACTTGCAGGCTGTACCTGACACTAAACAACCAATTGCAAGGCTTCTCCAAGTCACTCTTCTTGCTTCTTGAGTGTTCCTCTTGTACGTCTGTACTTGAAGCCCCCAAGCTCCAAGATGGCGACAATTCGCCCTCGGAACGCGAGAACGTCGTTTGAGATCCACACCGACGTGGTAGAACAAGAGGAATCTCAAGAGGAGGAAGAGGAGGCAATAGATGAATCACGAGGCGACATGGAAGGAGTTGAGCAGGAGGATGAGGATGAATACTCTGATGCCTATTCTGACGACAGCGATGATGTGGTTGATCCAAAGGTCCAAGAAGACATGGACAAGTTTCAGGAGACGTTCAAAGGAATTAAAGACCGGTTTCGCCTGATCAACCGAATTGGAGAGGGTAATTCACTTCTCGTTTGTTCTCGAAGTACTATATTGACGCGTTATAGGCACATTTTCGACTGTTTACAAGGCTGAAGATCTGTTATACGAGGCCTACGATAATGATTGGGACATTGAGGAAAAGGAAAACAAATGGACGTCACCACCCTTGAAGAAACGCCGCATGGGAATGCAAACATTATCGGATATGAACGAATACGCGCAGCAACGACGACGGCCAAAATATGTTGCGATCAAGAAAATTTATGTCACCAGCAGCCCTTCACGAATTCTTAATGAACTAGACCTTCTCAATGACCTTCGAGGTTTCGACTCTGTTTGTCCTCTGATTACGGCTTTCAGACATACGGACCAAGTCGTTGCTGTTCTTCCTTAT